AGAGAAGAAGAAAAAAAAAAAAAAAAAAAAAAAAAAAAAAAAAAAAAAAAAAAAAAAAAAACGGCCGGCGAGCGGCGGAGGGCGGCGGCAGGCGCCGGACACGCGTCGACCACCGGCTGGAGCAACGCAGCTCCAGCGAGGCGGCGACACGTGTCGCCTGCAAGCCGGGCCGAATTGCAACGCGGGCCGAGCCGACCGAACCGGGCCGGGCCGGCCGACCCGCGACTGTGCAGAATTGGGCGCGCGCGACAGGCGCGCGTGCAGCCTGTGGCTGGCGCCTTCCCGCGCGCGTGGCCACGCACTTCCAGCGTGCTGCTGGGCGCGTGAGCGCGCGTGGAACGGCCAATTTGGCCCGGTTGTTTTCTGTTTTCTCGATTTTGTCCCGGCTCCAGTTCTAATACTGTTTTTACGTGGATAGGGACTTAATTTAGAGAAATCAGTAGTTTTGGACACCTCACGGGCAAAGAAACGCTAGCGAAAGGGCACGCGTCAACCAGGTAAGATCAGTAGTTTTGGACACCTCACGGGCAAAGAAACGCTAGCGAAAGGGCACGCGTCAACCAGGTAAGTCACCACCCTTTGGACACCTCACGGGCAAAGAAACGCTAGCGAAAGGGCACGCGTCAACCAGGTAAGTCACCACCCAGTATTTAGGAAGAAATACTTGTAGGATTCGCTCGGATTGCATGCATGCTAGTAGTTCTGCTTCAGATTAGCTCTTCATGTAAGTTACTAGTCAGTTTATCTGTTGTGTTTGAATTGTGTAAATTACATGAGTGTTGCTTGTATGCCTTAGGCTTCCGCCGTATGTATGCATGCGTTATTTTATGTGTAGAATTGAGTATGCCGGGTTTCGGGGGTTTGATGGACGAATTCGCCCCATTGAGCGCGAACTTCGTGCTCTGGGTGCTTGATGGAGGTCATCGCCCCGCTGAGCCGGTATGCCTAGTTTGCATGAATTACATACTATGATGTAGAAGAAGATTACATGCACCCTCTGTTAATTGCTAGGGCCCATTTCCTTGATAAGATTAGGGAATCTTGGATAGGAGCGAAATGCCGCTCCAGCCTGACTTAATCTTTCCCTAGGAACTTAGTGGTTTACCACGGTAAGAAGGTACCCCGGAGCGTTCATAGATTGCTAGCGTGTGAACGGTATCTATAGCTTCGTGGGAGGACCAAGGGGTCCCTGATCAGTCCTTACTGCTCTTAGCCATTTCGCATGGGAAATGTGTCCCCACGTCGTACAGCCCATTAGCTACATGGGAACGGGTTGGGTCGCGCCCCCCATAGAGGGACTAGATGGGCGTAGGGGTACTCAGCACACCCCTAGGCCAGGTACCATGTAGTCCCAGATAGCCATGTGGAGGTAGCACCTCATAGAGAGATACCGACCATATTAGCTTGGCATAAAGAACCTCTGGGCGTTTAATGAGAGAACGAAAAATCAGTGAAACCCAAGGGGCAAGCCCCAAGGGACCTAGATTGGAGCCAGTCGCCCTAGAACCGAAATAGGAAACCGTGGCAACCTATTAAATTAAGATGCGAAAAGAGCCTACAAGTAGGTGGCTTACTGAGTATAATTTTTATACTCATCCTTGCTATGTTTTCCTTGTTTTTTTTCAGGAGCGTGAGGCGTAGGTCAAGAGTGGGCGTGATCTGAAGGGAATTGTCACAGAGGAATGGGTTGTCCCGGGGCGTCAGTCCAGTCTTAGTCTTTATTTTTGTATTCGCATTCCTTTTAAATTTATTTTCCAAACGGTCTTGTGTTCTGTGTTTATCGTTCGAAAAACTTTATTGAAATTTGATGATTTTTGGCTACTTCATATTTAAATCTCTCGTGCGTCTGTGTCGTGTCGTTAGTCACTGTCCGTAGTAAAATATTGGGCTGTGACAAATTTGGTATCAGAGCCATCAGGTTATAGGTCCTGTAGACATTTAGGGTAGAGAGTCGTGTCCTCTGTGACTTCGCTCGTCAATCACATGCCGCTCACGACCAGACGTTCTCACGCGACGGAAACATGGAGACAAAGGTTAAGTTAGTATTTATAAAGCATACCATGACTGACTAGGGCATTATATCGCACATTACCTAGGAGATGTGTTGTGAATGAATTGTGACCCTAGTTTTTTGTTATCCTGGTAGATAATGGCACCAAAGAGACGCGAACCGTATGTAGGGCCAGGACCTAGAAGGGGAAGAAGAGAGGAAGTTCAGGACACCTCGGTTGCAACACCTGAAGAGGAACAACCTGAACTTCAGGAGGAGGTTGGGGATATGCCCCAAACTAGCGAGGGGACAGTACCACAGCCATCAAGGTCAAAAAGACGCCGAATGAAGGCCAAGGCCCGAAGGCGGCTCGAGACACCCCCTACTACTCCCTTCTCCGAGGAGGCCCCATCGGATCCAACCCCGTGTACAGCAGTCCCACTAAACCAGCCATTAGCCATGCCCTCAGCGGAGATGTTTCAGACGTTCATGATGACGTCGATGGAAAATCAGGCTCTGACGAACCAGATGATTCAGACCATGATGTCTAATCAGTCAACAGGGCAAGGGGGCAAGGATTCAGGGACTATGACTGTGGAGTCCCGCTACTTGAGAGATTTCCAAAGGCATAAACCGCCTTCCTTTGACGGAGGCAAGATGGATCCTATCGCCGCTGAGAATTGGCTAGAGGCCATAGAAACGGCTTTTCATTTTATGAACTGCCCACCAAAGTATGAAGTCCATTGTGGGACATATATGCTGAAAGGAGAAGCGCACTTCTGGTGGAAAGGTGCTCAGAAAACCATAGTACCACAAGGAGAGTTTATTACATGGTGTCAGTTTAAAGACGCATACCTCCACAAATACTACCCAATCACTGCCAGAGTGAAAATGCAGGCCGAGTTCCTCGCATTGAAACAGGGAGACAGATCAGTGGGGGATTATGACTTGGAGTTCAATAGGCTGGCAAGGTTTTCTCCAGCCTATGTTAGTTCTGAGGAGTTTAAGGGCGAACGATTTATCGCTGGCCTGAGGGAAGAACTAAGGGGGAATGTGGCATCCCAGTCATCCTTTGTCTATACGAAAGCCCTTCAGGTGGCGACCCTGCTCGACTCGCCCCGTACTGACAAGCTTCAGTTGGGAATAGCACAATCATCCCACACTGCGGCCCAGGGAAAGGGGGCATACCCTAGCCACCCCAGAACTGGCAGACCACCCCGTGGCCGCACTGATTGGCGAGGGAGAGCCCCGGTACGGAACATGACTTTGTGCCCTTATTGTCGGCGTCTTCACACGGGGGAATGCAGAGCAGGAACAGGCGCCTGCTACAGATGCGGTCAGGTAGGGCACTTTGCAGTGGATTGCCCTCAGAGAAACGATCAGCGTGTCAACCTGCCTGCAGTACAGCATCAGAGGGGCCAAGCCGGCCAACATCAGCAGGGGCGAGCTGTAGCCCATGCAACAACAGCCAGGCAAGCTGACCCGCCTGACGCGGTTGTCACAGGTACGCTACCCGTATTTGGGCATCTTGCATTAGTGTTGTTTGATTCGGGTTCGACGCATTCATTCGTATCTGAAGAGTTTGTAGAGCTAGCACAGCTAGAGAAAGAACTTTTAGAGAGTACCCTATCAGTGTCTACCCCTGCGCACAAGTTGTTGCTAGCTACCCATAGGGTTAAGGGAGGTGGAGTAACAATAGCAGGGCGTGTCATCGAAGCTACACTGATAGTGTTAAGTATGCAAGACTTCGATGTCATCTTGGGTATGGATTGGCTAGGCGAGAATCGCGTCTTGATAGACTGCGAGACCCGAATAGTGACTCTCAGGCTCCCGTCAGGGGACAGCTTTACCTACAAGGGAGCCACTTCCAAAGGTGTCCCGAGCGTCATAACCTCGCTAAGGGCTAAGAAGTTGATTCGTAGTGGCGCAATTGCATTCCTAGCCGGCGTGACCTTAGATAATAGTAACAAACAAAAACCCTCATCGGTACACATCGTCAGGGAGTTCGTAGATGTCTTTCCGGAGGATCTGTCGGGTTTGCCCCCAGCTAAGGAAGTCAATTTTGGGATCGATTTAGAACCAGGAACGGTGCCGATCTCCAAGGCACCTTACAGGATGGCACCTGCAGAACTCAGGGAATTGAAGGAACAGTTATAGGAGTTGTTGGATAAGGGTTTCATCCGACCCAGTGTATCACCCTGGGGAGCCCCTGTTCTGTTTGTCAAGAAGAAGGACGGGTCCATGCGGATGTGTATTGATTACAGAGAATTAAACAAGGTCACTATAAAGAATAAGTACCCTCTCCCGAGAATTGACGACCTGTTTGATCAGCTACAGGGAGCAACAGTTTTCTCCAAAATTGACCTAAGGTCGGGGTATCATCAGTTGAGGGTTAGAGAAGGGGATATACTCAAGACAGCCTTCAGAAGTCGTTATGGGCATTACGAGTTTCTTGTTATGTCTTTTGGCCTTACCAATGCACCAGCTATTTTCATGGAGCTAATGAACAGGGTGTTTAAGGAATTCTTAGACACCTTTGTCATAGTGTTCATCGACAACATTCTGGTATACTCTAAGTCAGAGGTAGATCATGAAATACACCTCAGAAAAGTCTTGACAATACTGAGAGCTCAGCAGTTGTATGCCAAGTTCTCCAAGTGTGAGTTTTGGTTGTCTGAAGTTGCGTTTCTGGGTCACGTGGTGTCAAGCAAGGGGATCACAGTGGACCCAGCTAAGATAGAAGCAGTGATGAGGTGGCCACAGCCGACCACAGTCACAGAGGTGAGGAGTTTTCTTGGGCTAGCTGGTTATTACAGAAGGTTTGTTCAGGATTTCTCCAAAATTTCCTCGGCGCTGACTCAGCTAACCAAGAAGGGCAAGCCCTTTGCTTGGACTCCAGTCTGCGAACAAAGTTTCCAGGAACTCAAGAAGAGGTTGGTGACTGCACCAGTCCTTACAGTTCCAGACGGGTCAGGTAATCTCGTGGTGTACAGTGATGCATCAGGGAAAGGCTTGGGGTGTGTGCTCATGCAGAAAGGTAAGGTGATAGCGTATGCTTCTCGACAATTGAAAGAATATGAACGAAACTACCCCACGCATGATCTCGAGTTAGCAGCGGTAGTGTTTGCTCTAAAAACGTGGCGACACTACCTGTATGGGGAAAAAGTACAAGTCTTCACTGATCATAAGAGCCTCAAGTACTTATTCACGCAGAAGGAGCTCAATATGAGACAAAGGCGATGGTTGGAGCTGGTAAAGGATTATGACATAGAGATTCTGTACCATCCAGGCAAAGCCAACGTGGTAGCAGCATGCATTGAGCAGGAAGGCTGTGCACACTTCTGTGATGATCACCACACAGGAAAAACTACAAGATGAGATGAAGAGGGCTGGGATAGACGTGGTGATTAAAGGTGGTAGTGTTCAGATAGCACAGTTAACTATACAGCCTACCCTACGAAAGAAATTTATCGACGCTCAGAGGTCTGATGAACACCTCAGTAAAGTGTGGAGTCAGATTGAGACAGAGAGGCCAGCAGGGTATTCTATCTCCCTAGACGGGGGTCTGCTATGGCAAAACCGCCTCTGCGTTCCCCGAGACGAGGGAATCTTAAAAGATATTATGACCGAAGCCCACGATACATCTTATGTGTTCCACCCTGGAAGTACAAAGATGTATCAGGATCTGAAGAGATTTTACTGGTGGTCTGGAATGAAGAGGGACATAGCGGATTTCGTAAGCCGTTGCTTGACCTGCCAGCAGGTGAAGGCCCCGAGGCAGCGCCCAGCAGGATTGCTACAGCCCCTGAGCGTCCCTCAGTGGAAATGGGTAGCAGTCTGTATGGATTTCATTTCGGGTTTGCCAAAGACAAAGCAGGGTTTCAACGTCATCTGGGTAATTGTGGACAGACTGACTAAGACAGCCCACTTCATTCTAGGAAAGTCCACATATCGAGTAGACCGGTGGGCTCAGTTATATATCAAGGAGATAGTACGCCTGCACGGGGTAC